ATTGTATTTATCTTATTAACCAAGCGTGAGGGGCGTAGTGGTACAACAAACACCTAGGACCGATAATTCTCCCGGTACTGTCCCGGAGCAAGCAAAGGTGTTTGATAAAAAAAAGAGCGAAATCATTTGCATAAAATTTATTTTTTATTCTTTTTCTTTTCAGCTCTTCCGGCTGGCTGGTATAAATTCGGTTTTCCAAGCTTATCAAGTTATTTCCAGAAAGGAGGACCTGGGGACAAGCACGGCACTCCTGTCAGTTGATTGGTGGGAGACCTGATGCAATCAATTCGTGAAGACGAAAAATGAGTTTATTTCTCATTTACTTGGCCAAATTAAAATCAAAGGTTAATACTGAGCTTGTATATATTGTTGCATCACTTACATGAAATGGGAACCGGTTCTCACGATACAAAAAACACTCACATTCACACTAACTATCTACTGCCCGAAAACGTTGCCCTTTGACCCACACCTTTGATTAAGGTCACAGGTGACAAAGGCCCGTCTTTACCATACATTTGACGCAGGTCACCGAGGTGGACAAAGGTCGTCTTTGACTTTGGTTAAAGATGGTACGTCTTTGATCTTAGTCAAAGGTGGAACAAAGGTGCTGTGCCAAATTTTGACTTTGACTGGGTCAAAGGTACTTTTGACTGCGGTCAAAGCTGTTACTAACTTTTTACTAACTTTGACGCACGTCAAAGCTTGTCAAAGACGATATCAAAGGTGTTGTTTACCTTTGACCCACTGTGTCAAAGATAGTCGTCCATCTTTGTTTCACTTTCATGTGACGCGAATCAAAGATGAGACAAAGCCAACAATGTTTACTGTTCAGTGAAAAGTCAGACAATGTCAGGGAATAGATTATCCATGGATGACATCATGCATGGGCCACAAACCATGAATTGTCCAGTCAAACAAACAGTGCTAAACAAATGCATCTAATGTGTTTTATAATTGTTTAAAGGTAAAGGCTCAAACCAGATTACAGCGCACTGGGAATCCTAGATGGAACTGATAATGATGTCAGGTGAGCATTAGTACAAGTCCAAAAATTTCCAACTAAAAATTAACCTTAGCAAGGAAAACTTCCCCGAGGCAAAGAAATAAATTTGACCTTGGTGGGTTAATCTTCCGTTTCGTCGTTTTGTTTCAAATCACACCGTGGTCTTACAGTGCGACTAATCGAACCGAACCGCTTGGAAGAAACCGTCGTTTATTGAGAACAAAGATGGCAACCTTTTTTTCGTAACTGACCAATAGCGTTGCGGCATCCAGACGAAAGTTTCTACAACAATTTTTTTTTTTGGCCTTGTGCTCATCCCCAGGTTCTCTCTATGTATCACTTTTCACTGCTCATTTCTCCGATACTCTAGCAAACAACAAGTAACTACTGTATTTTATCCTTTCAATAGTCTCATAAATGGTGCAACATATGAAAGAGGAAGACGGTGCAAAATCCTTGCACCTCAACGGCTCAGGAGAGTAACGCCCACAACCCCAAGCTGTTGACTTTGGAAAAAACTAAAGTTTCACCATCGCCAGCTGGGTAAAAACTACAGACTCCCGTTACTTCTCAATCGACAATTTACTCCCGGACTGGTCACCTTCCTCGACAATTTCATTGTCCCGATGCATACTCGACTGGGGAACTTCTTTTCGGAGGGATCAACAACAAAACGGGCTATATAAGCCCATTGGTTTTGCTGCAGGGTAAGATAGTTTAGTTTAATACAGACAAATAAGTGAAATTTGGCGGGGACAAAGCCATTCATGTCCGCCTTAGAGAGGTGTCCGCCTTACAGTGGTGGTCCGCTTAGAGAGAGTTGACTGTATTC